GCATAACATATGGACATGTAGGATTGGATGAGGGCTGGTTCTCACCGGCATACCCCCACGTGGGAAGATTGGGTTGGCTAGGTCAACCTAATGATTAGAGAATGGCACAGTAAAAAACTTAAAACCTGGAAGAGGGGCCCTGGAAGAAGGGTGTTGCCTGGAAGAGGGCTGAACCTTGGAGAGGGTTCGCGATCATAGGACATGGTCAAAATCTCCGAAGAAAGTTCGGGTCTTGAAGTTGAGACTTGATGATTCCAAAACCGATTCGGATTATTCGTTCGAAATTTGAGCAAGGTTACTGTTAGGCATGACATCCAGGCCAAAGGGGTAAAGGAAAGTGGCATGGTCAAAAGTGACCGGTCACTTTTTGATGTTTTGGATTGGCAAGAAAATGCAAATAAAAAAATTAAAATTTGACCGGTCAACTTTGAGGAAAGTGACCGGTCACTTTTTAATTGGCGGATTTGATGAAATCAGACAAATCTGGAAAAAATATTTTTTGACCGGTCATATTTTTGACCCAGCACCTAGACAGGAAATTTGACGTCATGCTGGTTACATATTGCAACCAAGCCATTAGAAGTTGGTCGGGAAGAATTCAACCTGGACGAGTGTCACATTCTAACCTGGAAGTTGACTGGGTCAGAAGACAAGCAGGGAAGAAACCGACCTAGATGTTTTCAAGTCAAGAAACCAGGACATGAGATGACCTGGAAGTTTTCAAGCCTTGCGTCTAAAGTGGTCTTCAAAACCTTCCACCTATTTACCATTCAAAACTTCCAACCTAGCCTACTACACCGGGACATGAGATGACCTAGACGTTTGTTGCAGTTCAACCTAGACATAAGCGGGTCCAGAAGACTAGTCAGGCATGAGGTGCTCTGGACGTTTCATGGGGTGTAGAAATAAAGGTTTAGACCTGGACGTTTACAAGGACTGCTAAACCTGGACACCTTCAAAACCCACCTAACCAGGACATTAGATGACCCTGACATTCCTAAAGGATAAAGCCGGTTACTTCTTTTGACTTGGAATCAAGCATATTCAAGAAAATTGTCAACCAAGCCAATGAGGCCTGGACGTTTTCAAGACCAGGACATGAGATGGCCTGGACATTCTTTAAAACGATTCCTAAGGTATAAGGCCGGTTAGTTTTATTGACTTGAAAGTTCATTCAAAGGCGATCAAGAAAAAGAAAAGAAAAGCAATCATGCAAGATTCAATAACCGTGCATAGAAAAGGAGTTCAACCATGCAAATTGAAGCAGATCGACCGGTAAAAGATAAAGGCATGCCAAGAGGATTTAAGTTTCATACAAATCAAAAGTAGGCCGGACATCCCCCAGGCCTTGGGAAAATTTAATGTTTGAAAACATACCCTAACCTAGTCAAGGGGAAAGGGGGGAGCTGGCTCTTCCTTGTATAGAGCCGGGAGCTTCATCTTGGCCGGGTCAAAGGAAGGGTCCCTCTTCAGAAGTCTGGCATAAAGAAGGGACCTCTCATCCTTCTGGCCACACTGGAAGCCGTATGAGCCAATCTCGGTGATCATCCTCTTGCCTTCCGGTTCTTGATACATGGTCTTGAAAAAGTCCATGGTTTCTTCCGGTGTGGTGAGAATTGACCAGGCAATTTCCAAGTGATGGCTTGCAGCCCAGTGAGCAGCTTCAGTGGGAAAGGCTTCCTCCTTTGCCCGGGCAGATTCTTCAGCCTGGCCCAGCGCATCCTCGAGCTCGACAACCTTTCTCTTCCTTTCCTCCTCCAAAAGGGCAAACCGGACCCTTTCTTCCTTCAACTCTTCCTCAAGTCTCCTCTCCCTTTCTGCCCGGTCATTGATCTCCAACTTAGCAGAATCAAGGAGGAGGGTGAGTTGGGAGACCTGGTCCTTCTCCTTTAATGTTTGGCCAATCTCCTCTGAAATGACCCCGGCCTGTAAAAAAAAAAAAGAGAGGAGGCATATCAATAAAAGCAAAGCAAAAAGTTAAACTGGGAAGGAAACTGGAGATGAAATACCTTGCTGAGTTTTTTGGCCAGGGATAGGAAGGATTTTTCGATGGATTCCCCCTCCCTGTCTGATAAACTAATCTTCCTCTTCTTGCCTCCCCTAGAACTCTTATGAGAGCTCTTCCTTTTTTGGTCCTTGGCTTTTGAAGAAGAAGATGCACCGGCCTCTTTACACCTGATTGGACCGGGACTTTGGGGGGATTAGCCCGGTCAGTCTCAGAATAATGCCTGGCTGAAGGAGATTTCAGCTTCTGGTTTTGTTCATGGATAGGGCTACACCGGGCACTTGTGGCCCCATCCATTCCAGGGAAGTGAGAAGGAGAAGGAGGGTTGGAGAAAGGAGACCGGTTGGAGTGGAGGACTTGGACATCATCGTCGTCATCTTCGATGATGGTGGTCATCCTGTTGAAGTTCATGTCTGCGAAAAAGAACAAAACAGCAAATGACCGGTTAGTTTTTAAACCTTGTACATAAATAAAGAAAATGAAAGTAAGAAGCTTAAGAGAAGATGATCGACCTGGATGAGGAGAACTCGCCTCAGCATGACCATCTGGGGAGTTGGCCCGGTCATCTCCTGCGTCATGGGTCGCAGACACATCCCCATCCGGGTTAGATAACCGGTATACCCATCTACCGTAGGCGTATGGCTTACCGGTCACAGGATCACCCTTGAGAAGTTTCTCGCAGGCATCCTCAAGCTCAGGGGTAGGCTCCGGGTGGACCCTTTCAGGTTTTATTACCCGGTCAGCCCACTCAGGGTTAGTGAAAGAAAATTGGTCAGAGGGAAACTCAATAAAAACGAATCTTTGTTTCCATCTCTTATGGCTGGGGGGAAGACCGGTCACAAACCCCCTCTTATTGCGGGAATGGAAATAGACGAAGCTCGGGCAGTTACTAGTCCCGGGCAAGAGTTCGTACATGTGGAGGAAAAGCTCAAGGGAAGGGTTGATTTTCAGATTTTCACAGATATTAACAAAACAATTTAAGAACCGGTGAGCGTTTGGAGTAAGTTGACCGGGCAAATTATGAAACATTTTACAGATTTCAATAAGGAGGGGGCGAAGAGGAAAAATAATACCTCCCTCCAGAGAAGCAACATGGAAACCCAACCTGGTTCCCTGGTGGGGTTTAATGATGTTGGGCCAGGTGGTTTTGGAAAGGACTTTGTAGCCCGGTGGGAGGATGGTACGGACTTCTGCCAAAACCTTTTTGGTAACCCTAGAAGACTCTTTAAAGACCGGTCTAACATCAAGGGCTAGGAAGCCCAAAGATCCCAGTCGTTCTTCCCATTGCTCCCAGCTGAGGACCTTGGGATTGAATCGACCGGGCAGTTGATTCAAAGGGACATGCTCCTGGGCAATTATTTCCCGGGCCTGAGAGTTAGACTGTTGGGAGGGGCGACGGATCAAAGGAGTAGGAGAAAAGAGTCAACTAACTAAGGGCGGAAAGTTGGCCAAAAAGTATGAAGGACCTTATATCATCAAGGCCGTTGTTTGCCCAGGTACCTATAAGTTGATGACTCCAAAGGGAAAAGAAATAGATAGGACATGGAATGTAGAGCACTTGGTAAAATTTTATCAGTAAAATTGTTTTGTAACCGATGAACTCTGTTTTTCATTTAAGGCATTCTCATTTGTTTCTACAATAAAGAATTTCTTTCCTCTAAAGCCAAGTGTCTTTGCATTTCCATGGTTCTGTAAATTTCTTAAAAAAAGGGAGGGGGGGAGACCACCCCCGGGCAAGATAGACCCACATTACAGGGAGGTAGAAAAGTTTATGCCACCTACTAAAGATAGGGAAGGTAGATAAGTTTATGCCTCCGTGAAACATGAAGGAAGGGTTGGGATCGTACTTTGAGGGCCTTTACAACCTGGAATTCAGGAAGAACAGCAAATAGACTTCGAGGGCTGGAGCTTAGTATTCCACCAGCACAGATCAACCGAGCAAACAAACTTTGAGGGTTGGCGCTCAATTGATCTAAGGTAGATAAGATTATGCCTTAACCCGGAGGAATGGAGGTCAGGGGCAGATGAGGTAAGCTCCCACGACACATCCAAACCCCGGGAGATGAGATTTTATATAAGGTAAAAGCATTTGTAGTTGCATTTGATGATGTGCAAAGAAATAAACACAAGGAGCTATATTGATGGGTCAAAGGCTCCATCTTTGGTTCACAATAATGGTTCCCAATGAGATGAAAGAAACAAGGAAATAAGGAAGTTCATCGATTGCTAATTCGAGGGTTATATCTTTGAATTACAACGATTATTCCTAATTTGAAGTTAAAGGACATTCCTTGGCACAAGACGTGGGGTAACTCCCGAACCAAACAAGCGAATGTCTCTTGAGATAAACAAGAAAAGAAAAAACTGATCTGCAGGGGGCTAGGCGCGGAAGGAGGGCCAATTGCATCCATGCAGTCAGCTAGAAAGAGGAGGGGGCCCTCTCCACGGGCTCCTTCTCTCTGACGGAGGATACGCGGTGGAATCGTCAGCCTCGCCCATGTCATAGTCTTCCCACGTCCCAAGTCGGGGTGCAGGTGGTGCAGATGGTGAACCGTCACTGGGAGACCTTGGCAGGTTTGGAGAAGTTGTCCGGCTTTCACGCTAAGCCTCTGTGGTCTGGAAAGAACGCCCAAGTTTAGCCCTGCTCATCCTCTGGTACAAGGAGAAGTCTTGTAGGGTCATGGAGTCCCAGTCTATCCTCCAGGACGTGATATACCCCGGGTAACCACCAACGACTCTAAAGTCCTTAAACAAATCAACGGAATAATGGCCAAGTGTTATGATCCTTTTTGGAGTGAATTTATCACCATTAAAAACCATAACCTAACCATAATGTCCTTGGATCCTTCCCCACCATGAGGCCGAACCCCAATTTTGGCTAAAACCACCACACCCTAAATATCCAAACCAACCTTTAAAACCACAACCCAACCCTCCTCTTCTGCCCTCACCTTTGGCCGAAACACCAAACCCAAAGCCCACACATCACCCCACCTTTTGAACCCATCTTAGATTAATAATCACAATCCCAATAATAGCCTAATCAACCAGCCCCTCCTTCCCCTTGTTGTGGCCGAAAAAAATCAGCCAAAAACCTTACCAAACCCATGTCACAGTCCCCACAACTGTTCCCCATTATACTCTCCATTATGTGTAAGGAAACAAGCTGCAAACAAACAAAACATATTGGCCCACCTTGGCAGCCACCCAACTCACCTTTGTTCCCCATAAACTACCTATTACATCCCTCCAAAATAGCCAACCCACTCATCCCTTGTACCCCCCGCCTGGATGAATCAACCCACCCAATACCCTCCAAAATGACAGCCCACTCCACCATAACTTGCCCACAATAATAGCCCAACAACAGCCCCACAAACCGGCCCCTATCTCTGATTTTCTTCCCCACCAAAGGACTCAAATAAGTGGTTATTATTCCTTTAATTTGTGTGAATAAGAGACTTGGTAGTCTCCCTTGTTTTGCTATCTATATTTCGGCCATAGGCCTTTGTAACATCATCAGATTGTGTTTGCCATTTCAGTAGTAATACACTTGTGTGTTCTATTTTAAATTCCTATTTCTATATCTTAAGAGTGGTTCTCTTAGGTGTGAGTTATAGGTTCAAGTTATTTAAATAAGTGTGTAATATCTTATTTGAATACTAGATTCAATCCCAAGTAAAAGATAAGAGTGTGTAATATCTCTTAACACCTACTTGGTTTATCTTCCTTAAAGAAAACAACTAAATACATTTTCCTCCTCCCTACTCTAATTCGGCCACCCCCTCAAATACCCTTCCCTTTTCACCTTCCCTTCTCCTCACTTAACCAAGAATATCTTAAAACTTCCCCTTCTCCTATCCCACACGTCCCAACTCAAAGCACCCCATAAAACAGCCTTCTCCCTCTCAAACTTCCCTTCACAAAATCCCCTAAAATATACCCCCTCTCACCCTTCGTGCCCAGCCTTTACCCTCTCCACCATTTCCCCTTGAAGTTGAGCCTAACATTTGGTATCAAAGCTTTGTGTTGCATATCCCTCAAGGACCATTCACACGCCTCTAAAAGTAAGTTGTTCAAGCTCAAACTTCTTCCTTTTTCATCCTCCAAATCCACAGTCTGAATCCACACTCCCTCTCACTCTCTCCCCATTTCAACCATGTCAAATGAATCCCAAACTATGTCCCATGAAGAGCTCATTGCCTCCAATACAGCCTTGAAAGCCCAAGTAGAGTACTTGGCTAAAGAGGTAGCCAAGCTTACGAAGATCAAACTCAACGAGCTACAAGGAAGTGACCGTGAAGAAGATGCTAGTTCTAGTGGAACCATGAAGCCTAAGGCCAATGAAGGTTCTGACTTCAAAGTTGACATTCCAACTTTTGAAAGGAAGAATGACCCGGACGAGTTCCTCGAGTGGCTAGAAACAGTGGAACGCGTCTTTGACTTCAAAGATGTTTCCAACGAAAAGAAGGTCAAGATAGTGGCCTTAAAGTTCCGGAAGTATGCATCGACTTGGTGGACTAATATGTGCACCAAGAGGAGAAGAAATGACAAAGAACCGGTGTCCACATGAGCGAAGATGAGGTCCCTTATACAAAAGAAGTTTTTACCCGCTGAATATGTTCGTGAGAATTTTGCTAAGATTCAAACGCTTAGGCAAGGTTCTAAGTCCGTTGAAGAATACAACCGAGAGTTTGAAGAGCTTTTTTTGAGATGTGACTTGCAAGAAGATGACGAACAAACCTTTGTTCGTTACCTATTCGGCTTAAATCTACAAATAGCCAATACGGTGGAGTTGCAAAGTTATGACTCTCTAGAAGAACTCACGAAGTTGGCCCTCAAAGTTGAAGCTCAACATAAGAAATCTAAACCTTTTTTCTCCAAAAATAACACCCCTTCCCCACGGTCCTACTCCTCCACATCCAAACCACCTTATCCTTCACCAAAATTACCTTATACTACCCCCAAAAACCCCACTACTGCCCACGGCCCAGACCCCTCCTCCTCCACCCCATCTACCTCAAGAAACCCCTCATCCTCTTTCACACCCCGAGCTGATCCCACCAAGAAAGCACCTGTTTGCTTTCGGTGTCAAGGGCGAGGTCATTATGCCAATGAATATCCTAATAAGAAGGTGATGGCCATTGTCGAGTGTGATGAAAAAGACTTTGGCCCAACTTGGGTTGAAGAAGAAGTTCAAGAAGTTGAAGAACTAGACGAGTATGTTGGCCCCGATGAAGGAGAACTCTTGGTCATCCGAAGGACTTTGAGTGCTATAGCCTTCCCCGAAGAACAAGTGCAATGTGAAAACATCTTTCACACACGTTGTACAGTCCAAAAGAAGGTGTGTTCGCTTATCATTGATAGTGGAAGTTGCACCAATGTGGTGTCCAAAACCATGGTAGACAAGCTGTGTTTGAAGACCTCTCCACATCCTAAGCCTTACACGATTCAATGGTTGAATCCTGGCAAGGGCTTACGTGTTGATACGCAAAGTCTCATCTCTTTGAGTATCGGCAAATCATACAAGGACGACGTATGATGCGATATCATTCCTATGGATGCATGCCACATACTTTTGGGACGTCCGTGGCTCTTTGATCACCGTGTGCAACATGATGGCTACACCAACACTTATTCGTTCTTGATGAATAAAAGGAAGATCACCTTGACACCTCTCCCTCCCCCCACTTCACCCACGACCAAACAGCCACAAGAACCCCCTCCCGTCCTTATCTCCACCATCCTACAAGCTGAGCAACATGAATTCCATGAAGTTAAAGACCTCATTCTCCTTGAAGATGGAGAAGCCAAACCCATTGTCCTCCCAAAACAGCCCCATCCTCTAGCCCAACCGATCCTTGAAGAATATGCTCAAGTGTTCCCCGAAGATGTCTCCCACGGCCTACCTCCTAAACGAGACATCCAACACAAAGCTGACCTCATCCCGGGGGCTGCCCTACCCAACAAACCAGCATACTGAATGAACCCCGAAGAAACGAAGGAAATTCAGCGTCAAGTTGATGAGTTGTTAGCTAAGGGCTTCGTGAGAGAAAGCCTTAGCCTGTGTGATGTCCTGGCACTTTTGGTGCCAAAGAAGAATGGAACGTGGCGTATGTGTTGAGATAGTCGGTCTCTCAACAAGATCACTATCAAGTATCGGTACCCGATTCCCCGTTTGGAAGACATGTTGGACGAGTTGCATGGCTCCAAGATCTTTTCAAAAATTGATCTTAGGAGTGGATATCATCAAATTCGAATCTTTGGAGGAGACGAGTGGAAGATAGCGTTCAAGACGAAGTTTGGGTTATATGAATGGTTGGTTATGCCATTTGGATTAACCAATGCCCCGAGCATGTTCATGCGGCTTATGAATCAAGTCTTGAAGCGGTTTATAGGTCATTTTGTCGTTGTCTACTTTGACGACATTCTGATTTATAGCAAAAATGAAGAAGATCATGCTAATCACCTCACTTTGGTGATTAAGAAGTTGGACAAGGAGAAACTCTACGGCAACCTCGAAAAGAGCCAATTCTTTTCTTAGAAACGGAGTTCTTGGGATACTTTATCTCAAGTGAAGGCATACGGGTGGACGAAAAGAAGACACAAGCCATTAGAGAATGGCCGACCCCCACCACTATGCAACAAGTTCGGAGTTTTCATGGCCTTGCCTCTTTCTACCGGAGATTTGTGAAGGATTTTAGCACCATCACGGCACCTATCACGGATTTGACGAAAAATCAGAAGTTCGAGTGGAACTCCAAGGCCCAACAGGTCTTTGAAACAATCAAGGATCGATTAACACATGCCCCCGTGTTAGCCCTTCTTAGTTTTGACAAACTATTCGAAGTCGAGTGTGATGCCTCGGGAGTTGGAATCAGGGCAGTCCTATCCCAAGAATTGCACTCGGTGTCGTACTTTAGCGAGAAGCTAAACGACACAAAAAGGAGGTATTCCACTTACGACAAGGAGTTCTACGCATTGGTGCGGTCACTTGAGCATTAGCGTCATTACCTCGTGAGCAAAGAGTTCATCTTACATTCCGATCATGAAGCATTAAAATACATTCAAGGGCAGCATAAGCTCCGACCCCGTCATGCTAAATGGGTCAAATACATCCAAACCTTCACCTTCACCATCAAGCACAAAAACGGAACCATGAACAAGGGCGCCGATGCCTTGTCCTGGAGACACTTATTACTAACAGTACTTAGTACCAAACTTGTTGGCTTTGAGTTTTTGCAGGAGCTTTACAACGAGGATGAAGACTTCAAGGACACTTATTCCAAGTGCCTTATTCGGCCACATGGAGAATTCCTAATCAAGGATAGTTTTCTCTTCCGAGGCAACCAACTTTGCATCCCGAAATGTAGCATTCGAGAAACCCTTATTGATGAAGTTCACGGAGGAGGCCTAGCTGGTCATTATGGGGTCGATAAGACTCACATGATGATGAAGGAACACTACCACTGGCCAAGGATGGAACGAGACGTGGAACACGTCATCAAGCGTTGCAACACGTGCCACCTCGCCAAAAGTCAGTCGCTGCCCCAAGGAAAGCACTTGCCCCTACCCGTCCTCCTTGCTCCATGGGAATATATCAGCTTGGACTTCATCACCGGGCTGCCAAGGACACAACGAGGCAAGGATTCTATCATGGTCGTCGTGGATCGGTTTTCAAAAATGGCCCACTTTGTACCATGCCTCACCACCTATGATGCTTCCCAAGTAGCTGACCTCTATTTCCGAGAGATAGTCAAACTCCATGGCGTTCCCTGAAGCATGGTCTCGGATAGGGACATGAAATTCCTTAGCCATTTTTGGATGACCCTATGGAGAAAGTTGGGTACTAAACTAAAGTTTAGTATGTCGAGCCACCCACAAACCGATGGTCAAACCGAAGTCACCAACCGCACCCTTGGAACACTCTTACGAGCCCTCATCAAGAAGAACATCAAGCAATGGGAAGAGCTTCTACCGCATGCCGAGTTTGCCTACAACAGAACCCCGAACAAGACTACCGGGCTTTCCCCATTCACGGTGGTCTATGGTTCGAACCCCTTGACCCCACTTGAACTTGATCCGATCATCACGGAGACCAAATACAGTTGGGAAGCGGACAAGCGGTCAAAGGTAATCCAAGACCTTCACGCCAAGGTTCGACACAAGATTGAGGCTATGAACGAGAAGGAAGGACGTCCACTTCCAACCAGGAGACCTTCTTTGGATTCACCTTCGGAAAGAGCGTTTCCCCACGAAACGCAAGTCAAAGTTGCTGCCAAGAGCCGATGGCCCGTTTGAAATCTTAGAGAAAATCAACGACAATGCCTACAAGATCAACCTTCTGGGAGATTATGGAGTATCGGCTACTTTCAATATCAAGGACATTAGTCCATACTTCGAGCCTGAAGAAATGCCGAGTTTGAGGACAAACTCTTTTGAAGACCGGGTGGATGATATACCCTGGGTAACCACCAACGACTCTAAAGTCCTTAAGCAAATCAACGGAATAATGGCCAAGTGTTATGATCCTTTTTGGAGTGAATTTATCACCACTAAAAACCATAACCTAATCATAATGTCCTTGGATCCTTCCCCACCATGAGGCCGAACCCCAACCTTGTCTAAAACCACCACACCCTAAATATCCAAACCAACCTTTAAAACCACAACCCAACCCTCCT